AGAACTAGTTTGTGGTCGAAACCAAGCCTTTGTGCTCAGCCTGCTCCCCTGCAGCTTAACCTTGCTTGGGCTGTGCTGTGGCCCCTCCTTGCTGCACCCCTCTGCCCCCCAAACCCTTGGGCCATGGCACCCCTTCTCACCACAGCCCACTGCGAGGTACTGTGACCACCACCCCACTTGTTCTGCCACTAGCATGGCACAGAAAGCCAGCTTCTTCACCTTACCTGTCAGGCCCCCATGCCACGGGGGGACCCCCAGGGAACAGCTGTCCCTCCTTTGGGCCCAAGCTGGTTAGGGCAGCACCAGAGTCACGCCTGGAGGAGATTTCTGTGGAGGAGACTCAGGCCCCCCACACCTCAGAGGGGTGCTCTTCAAGGAAGCCCAGCCTCCCTCACTGGACCCAGTGGTGAGACCCCAATAGTCTTGACACCCATGAGATATCAAAATAGTGAGGTCCTAGCTGTGACCAGCACGGCCACTGAGCGGGGCTAGAAAATCTGGACTCTGGAGGTCACCGAATTCCACTGCCGAGACCAAAGCCTCTCAGTCCTCATTGGGCCACTGAAAAGTGTCTGCCTGGTGCCTGTGACTCCCCCTGTCACCACTTCCACTCCTTGGGCTGGCCCCCCAAACCGCCATCATGGGCTTGTTCCCTTCACCCGCCCCTCAGATGTGCCTGTTCCCAGGCCTGGCGCCGTCCCCTTCCATCTGCTCTCCCGGGCAAGCTCCTCCATTCGGGGCTCCGGCTGTGTTCCACAGCCACGGCTCAGTCTCCTGCCCAGACCACTCCCCGGGATCCAGCACCCAGAGTCTGCACCTCCCAGCCTCCACCTGACTTGGGGGACTCGGGTGGCCAAACCTGAGCTGTCATCCTCCCGGTGACCCGGCCCCTCCCGTGTTCCCTGCCTCGGAGAATGGCGTCACCAGCCACCCCAGCTCCCGAGCTAGAATTAGGAGTCATCCAGCACACAGTCATCCTCAACACCTCCCTCTCACCCCCACATGGGATTGGTCATCAACTCCTATGGATTTCATCTTCAGAAAGACTCCCCAGTGCGCCACTCCTCAGCCCCCACTGGCACGCTGCAGGGCAGGACCTTGCGCCTCTGTGATTCCCCTCTCACTACCCACTGTTCTGTGCCCACCGTCACCAGCAAGGCCTTTCTAACATGGAGTCTGGATCATGCTCAGAGTCCTTCCTTGCTCACCATTGCCCTCAGATCAAAGGCTAACACCTTCATGTGGCCGAAAGGGCGGGCTTGTCCACCCTCATTCCCGGCCACACTCCATACACTGCCCACACCAAACAGGCCACGCTGGACAGCAGTGCTTTTCCTTTCGCCCAGCAAGCTTTCCTGCCCTCTCAGATCAAAATCCTCCATTTTCTTCCTGGCTCACCTCCTCTGAGAAGTCTTCCTTCCTTGTTCCTTCATCAATAAATTGTAATCTCCTATCCGCTCCCCAGTTTCCATGGCACTTTGTCTGTCTCCCTGAGATCCATCTGCTTGTCTATGTGACTCCTCCCCTAGACTTTGAGCCTCTCAAGGGCATGGGCTGGTCTCGTCCATCTCTGTGTGCTCAGCCCTGGTGTGTGGCGTTGGCAGCCAGAAACATCTGTGGAGTGGAGGGTCAATCGAATTCAAATATGAGAAAAGGCTTGAATGCCAGCTCTGTCCTCAGGTCCCTGCTGCTGAGGCCTGAGCCACCGCCACTGGAGCCTTTTCACTGTCTGCTTCTCCCCCAGGGCCCCCTCCTACCTGCTCCCCTCAGCACGACGGGGAGTCCAGAGGGACCTGGGTCTGTGGCAGCCGCCACTGGGAGGGTGAGGCCTTGGTGTCCACGTGGGCCTGCGCTGCAGGGAGAGGGCCGAGTGGGCCGTGGCCCTGGCCCGTGGGTCCCGCGCCGCGGCGCTGAGCAGCCTCTCTGATTTTAATGCGGGCCTCAGTGCTTCAGTGAAAGCCGGCATGGGAAGTTGCTAATAATGGCACTAAAATAAAATATGCTACATCTGTTATGGGTAGCAGAACAAAATTAGCTGCTCACACCTCTGACATCCAAGATGTCTTAACTTAAAATACTCCTTGGCTTACTTTACATCATTTACTGATTATATTTAAAAGAAATACAATTTTGCAATTACTGTTCTTTCCAGCGTGATATCTATGCATCATTTTCCTTTTATGTTTATATATTTCTCCTTCATTAGTGCAGTCTGAAGGGTGATTAGGATTCTTCAAACATTTTACAGAGGTTAAACGTTGATTAAGATTTAATTATTACTGTAAATAGCTTGGAATGACATATGGTGCAAAAGCCTGACATATGTGCATTTGAATAAATGAAGTGCTATTTCCCAGGATGCCTCAGTAGCTGTTTAACAGCTTTCCCGAAGGGTTATGTTACACCTCATGGTAAGATTGCTGGGATGTTATATTTTGTTGGTTTTTGCAGCTGAAAGCTAAGAACAGTTTTCCAGTTTTTTAAAAACATTGAATATTTTAAATACCTAAATTGTTTTGCACAAATTTTTGCTAATTTGTCTAACTAGGTTAAACATTTTCAAAAGCATTTAGATTTTTAAGCGTGGGCGCTGTGCATTGTGTCAGTGGCAGCGTGGGGACAAGGGGAGCTGTTGGGGTGGAGGGGACACAGAGGCCAGTCGGGGTGGGGAGGGAGGAGGTGGTTTGAGGAGAGGGGGTAGCGGAGAGACATGGGCCCTGGGCCTAGCTCTTGTCTCCTTGGTCCTTTCCAGTGGGCAAAGTCTGGGTTTTGAGGGACCCGGGACTACAGGGGGTGGGTCCCCTTTTCTCCAGGAACTCCACCATGCCCAGCAGCTCTGGTCCACACCGAATTCCCTGTCTGGCCTCTGCTGGGCACCTGGGTGTGACAACTCGTTGAAGGTAGAGCCAACCTCTGGCACCTTCTGCCTGCTCCCCTGGGTGGCCGGGGTGGCACCTAAGTTACAAAGGTCTGGTGCCTCCTTAACTCTACCCAGGGCCATTGCCAGACTGGAGCCATCTCACACAGGTAGCTGGGGGCTCAGGCATCCCCAAGCTCAGTTCCTAGAGCTGCAGAGCAATGTCTGCCTGGGGGTGGAGGGGTGCTTTATTCTCCCAGTGCCTTCTGTACCTCATTTTCCCACTCCTTTACTCAAGGCCTCTGAATGTCTACTGTATGTTAGTACGAGGCTTTGTGGATGCAGGGATGAACAAGATCACGCATCCCCTGCCTCATGGAGCTTGCCATCTAAGTGAGAGGGAGACAGGAGTGGAGAGAGACGTGAACACTCACCCCCAAGGCCATGTGACACACTGAGGCATAAGAAGTGCAGGGGGCGTGGGCACCTGGAGATACAACATGCGGCCTGGCTCGGTACGCTCTAACGTCTAATGCTGAGACCCAGATGATCAGTCGAGGACCAGGGAGCAGGGTTTCGGAGAGAAAGGAAGTGGCAGGGGTCAGCTCTGCAGACTCAGGGCAGGAATTACCCAAGCACCGAAATAAGTTGGTGTGCCCAAGTCTCCAGACCCAGGAGGTTGGCAGCAAGGGGCAGACAGACTGGGTGGTGCAGGAGTGCGGGGTTGGGTCCCAGAAGGCAGTGCGACCTTTTTAACAGAGCAGGGACCCCGTGGTTGAGAAGGCTTGGGTTGGCTGACTGTGAGGGCCCAGGGCACAGTCTGAGTTGGCGAGGGTGGGGAGTTGGGGGGGGAGGAGGCAAGGAAGCCCCAGGGTCTTTGGCCAGAGCACTACAGGTGGAGGTGTAGGGACCCAGTTGGGGGAGCAAGAGGTGGTGAATTCAGTTCCATCTTAGATGGGTGGAATTTGGACACCTGTAAAACATCCACGGGGAGGCCTAGCAGGCAGTTGGCTGCGACCTGAGCTCTGAGGACAGACACATGGTGGGACACTCCTCAGATCTGGGAGTTACCACCTGGCACTCAGGGGTATGTGCAGAGGAGAGGTAGGACCAGACCTTGGGGACCCTGAGGGTGTCTAGCTGGTGTCACATGAAAGAGGGCAGCGCTGGCCTGGGGGATTTTCATGGAGTGGCGTGGGAACAGAAGCTACGTTTGCTGTGGGTGACAGTGTGAGAGATGAGGAGGTGGCAGTGACCGTGTGTGTTGACATTGCGGTCAAGAACTTTGCTGTTGAGTGGAGAGAGACTAGGGGTCTCTGAGGGAGGGATGGCTCTGGTGGGGTAGCTGGAGGGCAGGTATGGGTCAGAGTTTCCTTCAGATGCCTTCTGACTTTCCCTCAAGTAGGAGGAAGGTGTGTAGCTCAGGATGAGCGGGGCACCGAGGTCCGAGTGCCCGAGGAGCACAGAGATGCTGTGTGGTCTCCAGGAGGGAGGGGAGAGGACCTTGGCGGTGTGGCCCGGGCCAGTTTCCAGCTGAGCGTTCCTAGTGACTCAGTCAGAGTCAGGGACAGCGAGTCCCAAGGGGTCTCCATCAGGCTGCAGTGGCATGAGGTGGGTGCATGCTGGGGTCATCCATGGCAGGCTGCCATCACTCAGGAAAGGCCTTGGGGCTGCAGTTGGTGAAGCGATGCTCCCAGCACCCAGCTCAAGGGGAATGTTGTGAGGACTGAGCTGCTGGGCATCCAGGGGCTCACAACTCGGTGGGTGAGCAGATTGGGAGAGTGAGTGGCTCACTGGAAGGAGCAGAGATTGGCTTCCAGGAGCGTGGGGGTTTGGCTCTAAGGAGCTGGGGGAGCGGCCCTGGGTGGTGTCCATGTCCAGCCAGGAGCCATGGCAGTGGCTATTTGCAGGTCCCTGGAGAGGAGGGTGACACGAATCAGAGGCCACAGTGTAGGATCTTCACCTGCGTTGACACACTGCCAGACTGGGCTGGAAAGGGGCTTCTCACAGGCGGGCGGTGGAGAAGGACATGTCAGCAATGGCACGTGGGCGCACTCACGCAGCTGCCTGCTGCTGTCAGCCGTGTTCACCCCTACTTTCCACCCCTCTCACTGTTTCTTCTCTGTTCTCATTCTCCCCACAGATCGAAACATCCCAGTTAGAGCCTGAGATTGCCCGGGCCACCAGCAGCCGGACGGTGGTGTATAACAAGGGGCTGTGAGTGGTGGCAGGGGCCTGGGGATGGTGTCCAGGCCAGGGAGTTGGGGTGGGGACCACATCTTCTGGATTGCACCTGCAGGGAGGGGCAAGCTGACCCCGACACCTGGGCCCCCAGGGGGAGCACTGGACCCACAGTGGTAGGGGGACTAATCTATTTACGTGTTAATATAAGGGAGAGGAATTCTGACACATTTCCTATACAAAATAATCAAGTGCATTTCTGGGCCTTACCTGGGGTTGTCAAAACTCTACTCAGCACAATTATGTGTGAAGCTGAAACGTGGTAGAGTGCCCACAGGATAGAATTAGGATCCTTTTATACTTTGATTTCTTTTTTATTTTTTATCAGAAGCAAGTCTGAGCCTCGGTTGCAGCTGCCCAGATGCATTAGGTGGGAGCCGGAGTAGGCCTGGGGGCTGGTGGGCTTGGTAGCTGGGCTGCTGGATTTAAGACATAGTGGTGACGAGGCCTGATGGCTCACTGGCTGGGTGGGGGAGAGGGAAAGGGGTGGTATTCGCATCACAGGATGTACTATAATAGCCATGACTAAGGTCGTCAGGAGGTAGCCCGGGGAATCATGGAGACCTGGAAGCCCCTGGAAGATTCTGTGAATGACAGGCTCTGAGTGTGGCCAGCCTACATCCATGCCACACCTGTAGAAACAGTCTCTGCACGAAGCCCGATGACATGGTGGGAAAGGGGTCACCCTTCATGGAGCCCTGGTCCACTGAGATGACTCCAGCTCCAGGCAGGAAGCCCGAAGAAGGAAAGATGTTGGCATTCCAGCTTTGGTAGGAAGATCTTTCCAGTCCTGGAGGCTGCCTGCCCCTCCCATTGCTTTCTGATTGGGAGTACAAAGGTGTCATGTGCCTGAGAACTCTAGGCACCTACCTGACAGGCAGCATCAACCCAGAAACAGAGGAACCCGGCTCTGGACAAACCAGCTTGGACGAGACTATGCCCTTCTCTGAGCCACTACTCCCTGTCTGGAACCAGAGGGCTAGATCAGGGGCTCTTAACATTTCTTCTAGCTAGCCCTCATTTTTCCTGTCTTGTTCAGATGCTGGCCATTCCAGGCACATCCCCAGTGGGGACATGGACTGGGAAAGGGGCAGGTCCCTTTGGGAATGGCCAGCAGTTGGTCTGAGAACCTGGACCTTGCCCTTGTTTATGTGTCCCCACGTATGGGAGCACTTGAACTTTGCCAAACACTTTACAGTGCCGAAGAGCAAGCATCATTGAGGCCTGGGCCTGAATGTGCACACCTGCATGCCATCTCTGCTTATGCAGGGGCGTCTGAGGGCCCTTGCTGTCCTCCCATCTCCCTCTCATGGGCAGGCCAGGAAGAGGAAAGAGCTCTGCAGTGTAAAGCAGAGCCTGGGGCAGGGGTGAACTGGGAAATCCCTTGGTCTGGAAGGTCCAAGCAATGGGGAGCATGAGCCTCAGTGCACCCCTCACCTGAACTTAAGTAGAATGGGGTTCTTGACTTGCACTGCCCTGGGGCAGCCACCTGGGGGCAGCCTGGCTGGGGGGGGCAGCCTACCTGGGGGGGTGGGGATGCAGGGAGAGACCGGTACAGGGCAGCAAGGGTATGGCGGAGAGGGCTCTGCCCACCCCTATGGCAGGGTAGCTGGGCCGGTGGTCCTTCACGGGCATGAACACCATGTTTCACTCAGAGCCCCTGCTGCCCTCACCCCCAACCAGGGCACGGCACCCCAATTTGCTCTGCGGGATACTGCCCTAAAGGCCCTCCCACTGCCCCAGGAGCAGCCCATGCCCACCCCCACCAACCCCTGGCCATCAGGAAGCGGGAAAGACAGACTAGAGCAGGGAACGATAGAGGGGAGGCTGCCACGGAGTTGGGGGGCATGTCCATGAGCTAATCCTGCCACAATGTGAATGTGCCCATGACTGGGGGCCGGGCATCTCTGGGCTCTCTTTTGAAAAGTAGAGGGCTAAGTCCCTCTCTGCTTCAAGTTCACCCTGCCCCTCCTCTCCTAGAGTCATGTTCTTGTGCACTTTGCTTTGGGGCCAAAATTGCAAAGTTGCCTACTCCTGCCCCCTGCCCCTCTTCCAGAGGCCTGGATTTGGGGTCCTCCTGCTTCTCCTCTGTGCTGGCAGCCCCTGCTCAGCCCTAGACCTGTGGCCTCAGCATCGCATAAGCTTCTGACCTTGTCTCCCAGATGATTTCCAGTCATGCTCCCAAATGCACTCTTAGGTGAACCCTCCTGTGGGGGTCTGGGTTGGGGGGGTGCAGAAGAGCCTTGCAGCTCGGGGTGGTGACCGTACTCCAGTGAGCCATGCGGCCAGGTCCTGATCTGACTGCAGCAATCACCAGGGGAAACTCAGCTGGCATCCACCCCCGACTTTGAGGCCTCATAGACAGGTTGGTTCACGACTGGGGCGAAGGCCAAGCCTGGACCCACGGACAGAGTGGGGCTGGTCCAGCCGTGCCAGAATGCAGGACACTCCTGCAAGTCGCTCTGCAGCCCTGAGGTACCTGCCTAGCCTTCCTTGGGTCACTTAAAACATTCCCTCCTTGGTGATGCCCTTCTCCTGCCCTCAGAGAGCAATTTGAGGGTGCAGGGTCCAAAAGCCCAAGATGTGAAGATGGTCACTGAGTCCAGATGGCCAAGGGACCTTGTTCTACTTCCAGATTGTGAGCAGCTTATTTCTTGTCCTGGGGTTCTAGCCTGTGAAGAGGAGGGGGTCCCGGGAAGGAGGGCCAGTGTCCCCCAACCCTGGGCCAGTGTGAGGCACCAGCACACAAGCCTCACTCACCCCGGGGGGACTTGGTGGTAGCTTTTTAACCTTCTCAGAAAAATGTCTGTCTCTGTGATTTACCTAATATTAATGCACTGTGGGCAATAAATGATGGATTTAAAGCACCAGAACTCGGCCTTGTGAGTTATGGGCTGGAGCGGTGGTAGTATGGAAACGCAGCAAGATGAGCCAAGCTGCCTGGGTCTGTGGAAACGACCCCAAGGGAGATGCAGACCCTGGTTCCAGGAGGCCTCAGGCCAGCTGAGAGGCCCAGCGGGAAGGGGAAGGAAGAACCTGTGAAAGCGGGAAGTCGAACAGAGGGGCTGAGTTGAGACTCGACCAAAGGGCCCCTTCTGTAGAGGAGCCGCTGAGAGCTGAATCCCCCACCCCCAAGGAACTTGAGTGGTTTCGACATTTTTGTACATTTTCTCCCTGTTTATACTCATGGCACTGGGTGGGGATAAAGGAGGGGGGAAGGCCATTCCTAGATATCCTGGGGGCCAGAAGAGGCCTCATGAGGGAAGGCTTGAGCCAAGTAGAAAGGGACCTGGAGTCCACCGTGCATAGGACCCGCCCCAAGAGCTCTGCTGCTTCCTAACTGCTCGCGGGCCCTCAGAGTCACGTCTCAGGCCACCTTCACCTCTAGTTCCTCCTCTTCAGGCTGCCCCGAGGAGTGAGGCCTGGCCTCTTCTCTGACCTCTCAGCACCCTCCACCTGTGCAGGAGGACGCTGCGGCTCCCACACAGGGTGCCGTGTGCGAGAGGGAGGTCACCGTGGCCCGTGCGGTCAGCAGCCCCGCTGACCCTGGCGTGAGTGTGACTTCTAGCCAGCCACTCCCTCACCTTCCCATTGTCGACTGGCTACTTACTGGGCATCGTTTCTCAGCGCGGGCTGCTCTGGCTGAGCGGTGGTTTCCTGAGCTATGGCTATGAAGTGCCGAGACCAGCGCTCGCTGCTGTGGTGTAAGGCAGAGAGGCAAGTGGAGGAAGGCATCCAGCTTCTTCTCACCACCTCCAAGATGTGAGGGGCTACTGCCTCCCCTTGCCTGGGGCCCAGGCGCTAGGCCGCCCTAGGAGAACGGGTGGAGGGGAAGGGGCAGGGCAGAGATCTGTTCTCGGGGATACCTCCAGGTAAGGGGCCTTCTGCTCTGTGGAGAATTTCTTTGCTAAAAGCCCACTGGCCACAGCCGCCAGCCAGGCGGAAATCCTTGACGCTCAGAATGGACACAAATCCCTCCTGGGAGCTGTTTGTTGTTTTTAGCTGGTTTGGGGCTCAGCTCCTGCCCAGCCTGGGGATCACTGACACTCCAGGAATGCAGCCTCCCCAACCCCACTGCTGGCCCCTAGGGCCCCCTCCTCCCACTCTGGCTGTGGTTAGGAGAGTCAGAGTGCTCAGTGGTGAAGGCAGTGACGAGTGACCCTCTCCCAAGGCCCTAAGCAGCCCAGCCTCATTTTCAGGATGGAGTTTACCTTTGTCACCCAGAGTTGCTGTTGTTCCTGCCATCTCACCCACCTCCCTGCCACTGATTAGCACCACCAAACTGCTAAGGCTTGGCTACTCACTGAGAGATCTGACCCCCACAACTCCAGGTATCTCTCTCAGGACAGTGGCCATGAGGTGTTCATCCTCCAGGCTCCACCGAAGTAGGTGCTGGCAGATTTGTCTAGGGCCAGAGCCTGGGTCCTTCTCCACCGGGAAACCTCCTCAGCCAGAGCAAGTATCTGGGGCCCCACTCTAGTCCCTGGCCTGGTGGAGGAGAAGACAAACCCAGCAAGGAAGTACAGCCTTCTCCCAGTTCACACGTGAGCATGGCACCACTCGCTCCGGGGGAGTGCATGAGGCTCAGGACTATAGAGAATGGGGAGCCAGGGAGGTCATGGCCAGCTTCCGTGGGGCCAAGGACAGCTGGGAGAGCCCCTGGAGGAAATGAATCCACCTGGCAACGGAGCGGAGGTTAGTGTGGATCTACGCCAGACGCTGGGAAGTCCAGCTAAGATGCCACTCTGAAGGTCAAGGTGAGGGAGGGAAGGTGGGCCCTGAAGCAGGTGGTAGGAAAGGGATGAAGGGATGTGAAGAAACTCCAAATTACTCAGCTCTTGGTGACTGACTGGGCGGGGAGTGGCTGAGAGGAATCAAAGATGGCCCTGGACTCTCCTGGATGGCAGTGCCGTTTCTCCAGACTAAGAAACAGAGAAGGACGCACGTCTGCAGAGAGGTAATGCGTTCTGTTTGCAAGTGTTTGGAGGTTTCTGTGAGACGACCAAGTTGAGCTGTCAGGAGACAATTGCGTGTGCTTGTCTGGAGCTCAGGAGGCAGGTCAGGATTGGCAAGTTGCCATTTATTGAGAGCACCTGGAGCCAGTTAAAGGCACTGAGGCAATCTCCCTTGGGATGTCTGGGGGCTGGGGGAGCCCCTCCCACCACCCCCCCATCCCTGAGGCCTGGGCAGAAACAGGAAGCTGTTCAGGAGGCTTAGCCACAAGAGAGGTGGTTGGTGTCAAATTATGCCCCCCATATTCATACATTGAAGACCTTACTCCAGTACCTCAGAATGTGACTGGGACAGGGTCTTTAAAGAAATAATTATGGTAAAACAAGGTCATTAGGGTGCACCCTAATCTGATGTGTCTGGCACCCTTGTAAGAGGAGATTGGACACAGATGCACATGAAGAGCGCCATGTGCCCATAAAGACAGCCATCTGCAGGCCAAGGGGAGAGGCCACAGAAGAAGACAACGCCGCTGACCTCTGACCTTAGACTTTAGGCCTCCAGGACTGTGAGAAAAGTAACTGTCCGTTGTCGTGGACACTCTGTTGTGGCATCACTAGTAAATAAATACAAGAGATAAGAGGAAGGCATGAGATGAGAATTCTTTGAAGAGGAGGTGTTGTCCGAGCATTTAATAGGGGCAAGAGTAGAAGGGAGGTGACGACCAAGGCCTGTCCCCCCAAGGACCTGAAAAATGTTCTCAGTGGAGTGTGGGCAGGCCAGAAGCCAGACCTCCATGGGTTGAGGAGTAGCACTCCCTGACTGCCCGTTTAGATTATTCTTTAAAGAAATTGGCTGAGTAGGGACGTGGCAATGCTCACTGCAGGACATGGGCCTCTCCAGCACTACTCTGCACCTTTCTCCACTCGTTCTCCCTCCCAAGAGGCTGCACCTGCTGCCTGCTGCCTGCCTTTGGGAGTCTTGACCAGGAAATCGGAGGGCTGGCGAGTGATGTTGAGGGGTGTGTCCTCCTGGCCTTCTCTGCGGTCTGTGGCTTTCCCACAGCAGCTCCCTCTTGCTGGGTCCCACACCACCTTCTCCCTGTCCTCTCCTGCACCTTGCCTCTTCAGGGCTCCCCATTGTGGGGCACTGCAGCAGCTCTTAAATTGTTCCTTTATTATTTCTTAATTGTTCCTTTATTAAACTCTCCCCCAAGTTCCCTGTTTGAAGGGACAGTCTTTCCACTGGGCCCTAGATGGTGAAGGTTGTCCCTTTCATGATTTTTCTCTGAAGATGGAAATAAGATCCTCTGCTGAAGCAGGAGAAAGTGACAGCTTATTCCCTGTAGAGGATGGAAGTGACTTTGTCAGCAGTGGTGGGACCGGAGCTGAGGTTGGGACCTCCGACCTCAAGGGGCGCCATCTAGATGGATTGCCGGGTGTCCTCGCAGACTCGGCTGCAAGGGCAGGTGGGAAATGGATTCCAGCGGGCTCGCTATTTTGCCAGGTAGGAACTTTGGGACACGGGTGTAGGGGAGATAGCAGCATGCCCATGATGGAAGAAAGGGGAGCCGGTGAGCGGGAAGAAGGTGTGGTCTAACAGGAAGGACACCTGAATGCGCAACTGAGAAAAGTCGCCATCCAGGGCCTGACGAGCAGCGTGAGTGGGTGATGATGAGGACGCCAAGGAACGAGAAGTTGGGGTGCAGGGTGAGCTATGCATGTGGATCCCCAGGACTTGCAGGACAGGAAGGCCATGAACTAGTAGCCACAGTCTTTCACAAATGAGGGGGTGTGACCAGGACAGGCAAGCACACATGGCCCACAAGCACAGCCGCACACCCCCACACACCCACACAGTCACACACACACACCCACAGCCCTCCTAGACTCCCAGACACCCTCACATGCACTCACCCTCACACACACCCCAGACAGCAGATGGGGCGCCCGGGTAATTGGTTAAACCTGTTCCCGATGTCTGGCTCCGCATTGGCAGCGCCCGTCTGACAGGAAAGCTGGCTGGGCCCGCACCGCTCAGCCTGCTGGCCTCCCCGCCCCTCCCCCTGCATGACTACCCTGGAGCAGGGGCTCCAGGAGAGGCCTGCAGGCTCCAGCCTGGCTCCCTCCTGTGCAGAGGCCAGTTCACTTGGCAGGGGCCCCACCGGTCCCGTGGGAAGCAGTCTCAGCACCTGTGAAGAGGAGTTGGTGTAAACCGAGTGCCGAGAGGCTTAGCACGTGAGCCATGCTGCTCTGGAGACCATGCGGACTAACCCCAGAAAGATCCATGGGGAAGAGGTTTAGAAAGAACCTTCTCTGAAGGTGAAGCTCGGGGCTTAGGCCATGAGAGTTAAGAACAGCTCACCTGTGTTCCCTCTACTGTAGCCACATGTGGCTTGGGGTGCTCACAGGTGCTCACCAGTACTTCAGCCAACTGGACACTGCAGGGCCTGGGAGGCCAGGCCAGCCAAGCCGTAGGGAAACGACCAAGCAGCCTTGCACAGAGAAGGCCTGGCCTGGCAGCTCCTCTCCACTGGTGCTCACCGCTGCGGGGGTCTGATCTCTAGGGGAAGGAGCAGTGTAGGGAGGGGAGGGAGCCTCATTCCTCGGCTTCTTCTCCCCTTCCCGGCTGCATCTGTGTCTCTTTGAGAGACTCTTTGGTTTGTTCCCTGGAGAGGACCCAAAAACTCCCAAATTAGCAAACCTGGCAAGCCCGCAGCTCAGAAAATAGTTCATCCTGATTCCATGTTTTTCAGGCTCACAGAAGCCTTTATTAATGAAGTCACAACACCAATATTTACCGTCTGCAGGGAGAGGCACAACATGGGGGACGGATGAGTGCAGCGGGGACTCCCGCCCCGCCCCACGCAGGCTTGGCCTAGGAAGATTGGCAGGTTTCCTTGGGTCCTTTCCAGCCCTTTATCTAGATGACAGGGGGTGCTCGGCTGTGATCTCCCTGCACCCCTTCCCCCACTGAGTGAGAGAGAATTTTGAGAGGAATAGCTCACCCATTCCTCTGCCTCTCACTGGGGCCCAAAGGATGCTTCTCCTTCTCACCCTCACTCCGCCTGGGCATATGTGCTCCCCAGAGGTTACCCACCTGCCTGGCAGCAGACTTATCTGGGTTAGGATTTTCAGAATGTGAGAAATTCACTTTCCTGGCTGAGGAGGGGAGGGATCCTGGGATGGGACAAAGCCCTTTGGTTTGTAGCACTGCCTGCGCTCAGGGGCCCCTGAGCAGATCCTGAAAATCCCAGCAGGGACCCCTGTGCTCCGACCCCTGCCTGTGTCAGACAAAGCTGGGCTCCGGCATCTTCTCAGTGCTTTCAACAGTGATCAGGCCCCTGCGACATTCCAGGTGCCAAGATGAGCACAAGTAAAGGCAGAGACAGGGATGACATTGGTGAGACTGAAAGGGGGCGCGCCAGGAGATAAGGACAGGAAAGACATGGGGGCCCAGCGGAGGGCACAGGACAGCGTTTGAGGACAAGAACCTGGCCGGCCACCTCAGGGAGGCCCTGCTTCAAAGTGGGCCTCCTCCTTGACATCCACGCAAACCTCGTGCCTGCCTCCCCACTCTCCCTGTGCCTCACTCTCCTGGGAGACGTGCACACGATTTCCCAAGGTGGAAGAAAACATGGCCGCCTGCCAAGGTGGGCAATCCTGGAGAACAGGTGAGATGAGACAGCTGGGACATGTTGGGCTGGAGGGACTGAGGGGCATGGAGGGCAGCAGGCAGCTGGCGTGGTGAGCCTGGAGGGGCCAGCTGGAGATGGGGACTGTGGAGCCACAAAGAAGTCCCAGAAGTGGAAGTGAAGCCCCAGGCAGAGGGCAGGGCATGGAGGCAGGAGGAGCAAGGACTGACCCTGGGCCGGACAGACAGACAGCCAGGCATGGATGGAACTGGGAAGGACCGGACGAGGGGAGCTATCAGTGGTGGGGAAGTCAAGACGGGGGTGACCAAAGATGGGGTACGGGTGAAGTCAGATGGGAGGTGGTTGAGTTTGGCCATAAGGGTAACCATATTTGGTGACTGTCACCAATGTCACTAGTGGTGGGGCCCGGGTCAAGAAGCCTAGGTTTGGGGAGCAGTTAGGAGGTGGGGAAAAGGGCATGGGGAAATGGATAAGGGATATGGTGAGGGAAAGGCTGATAGGAATATAGTTTTTGCTTTTTTGGGGTGAAGTCAAAAACTTGCTCTATGATAAGCAGGAAAGACAAATCAATAGACTGACGGGCAGGGGGCCACCGAGCTAAGTGGACCTTGCAGCTCTTGCTGGGACTGTGAGGGCTCCACGCCCTTGGGGACCAGCTGCAGGCTCAGCCTCAGCCCTGTGCCTGAAGCTTTCATCTGCCCAAGTGAGCACCTTGGTGGTTCAGGACTCGGGGCTGCGACTATCAGCCTCTGTGAATGGTGCCGCTGGGCCCAGCTCTTAAATCTCCCCCTTTCCTCTGGTTTCTCCTCAACCAGAGACATCCCTAGAGTTTCTGAGCATGGGGAAGTGTGTGTGCTTTCTCTTCACCCTGGCCCACCTGGATCTGCTCAATAAATCTGGAAAGACCTGGGCACGTTCTCCTTTAAGACACATATAGTCCTTTCCTATGTGAAGCCTCATGTCATTTCCTATGGGTTTGAGGCTAGAGGCCAAGGTCAACAAAGGAGAGGAGTTAATGAACTGAGTCTTCCAGGGCTCTGCCCTAGGCTCCCAAGTCCCAAACCAGCTTGCTCGGTTGGCCCCAGTGGACCCAGGGCCAGGATCCACCAGTGCAGGCTCCCAGGCGCTGGGATTGGTGCTGGATGCCATTTAATTAAGAGAGAGACTTTTATTATTCCCATAGGGAAGGGAGACACAAGGGGATCACTAAGAACTACAGTGGGTGCCTGGAAAATAAATTAAAACAAATGCATCAAAACAAAAGGAGATAAGAGAAAGAGTGGCTGCGGTGGCCGGCGGCCTGCACGGGCAGGCAGGCAGCTCTCCGAGGAGAAGGTCGAGCAGTCCTAGGTCTCAGCCAGCCCATTTCTTGTCCTTCTGTCGGTGGTGGCCCCAGGCTCCACGCGCTGTGGGGCCGTGACCAGAGGTCTCCCCACAGTCCGGCCAGGGAGTGGCCGGAGTCCAGCTGGGCCTACCCAGGGGTCTGGCCAGCAGCAAGCAGCACTCTGCCCTCATGGGTTCGTGGCTGCCCACCCTAGTCATTGGAGGTGACATCAATGTCCTCCCCGTTGGCCTGCTTCGTGGCGATACGCCACCGGTTGATGTGGTGAGAGCCCTTCTTCTTCTGCTCCGACTCAGGCCCTTCCTCCTCCAGCTTCTGTCGCTTGTACTTTGTCCTCCGGTTCTGGAACCACACCTTCACCTGGGCCAGGAGGGAGGGGTACAGGTGAGAAACCACCAGGAGGCCCCCAGCACAGCCGACTGGGGCCTCAGCACTCCAGCTGAGCCGGGAGCCAGATGGGGAGACTGAGGCCAGGGCCGCATCTCTGGCCACCTGATGGATGGGTCTGGAGGACTCTGGCAGGTGCTGGTGAGGTGGGCCAGAGGAGGGCCTTTCTCCAGCCTCTCCCAACAGAGCAGAGGGTGGGGACATGGAGTGCTCGAGCTCCCTATAGCCACAGCAAAGCAGACAGGAGGAGGCCTGGTTCTGCTGCCACCCCTGGCCCAACCCCCTGCCAAATCTGGCCCCTATTGTTTTCTAGAAAAGAGACAGTCATTCCTGCATAAGGTTGATGCAAACAGTAAGTGAGAGAACATATGAGAAGCCATCTCATGGGTCCTGATGACCTTCCTGAGGTGGGTGCCCTGGGATGCCCTGGATTTTTTTCCACACACAGGGCAGGGTGGACACAGCTACACAAACAGGAGGTGTTGTCTACACCAAAGGCAATCCCTGGGACAGCCAGAGAGCATCTCAAGCATCCTGCTGGCCGCTCTAGCTTTGCAGGCCATCTCGGTCCGGTCCTCTTAGCAACCTCAGGGAACTCCCCCAGCCCACATCAGAGCTGAAACTGGGCAGTAGAGAGCTCGATCCCTCAAGTGCCAGGTCCTCAGAGAAAGCTGCAATGCACCAATGAGGCCTCAGCCTTCTTGGACAGAGGGGTGTCTGAGGCCCCAGCCAGGGCCGTGCTCTGGACTTTCTGCCTCCACAGCACTTGCCCCTGTGGCCCACCCAGAGATGGGAATAGGTCACACAAAGAACAATCAGGAGAAATTCCAGGGGACAAAAGTGAGATTCCTTTTAAACTCAGAAATCCCCTCACCTCTGTGTCAGGTAGGAAAGCCCTGACAGAGGGAGGGTTCAGTGACCAGACAACCATCCTCTGGTAGGGGTGGGAAGTGGGGCTTGGAGGAAGGGGCAGGTCTATGATGCTAAGCCCATCTCTTCCAGGAAGCCTCCCCAGATTTACCCCCAATCTCTAATCATCCCTCTCTGGTCTTCGTCCTCCAGTACCTGCTCTGTGCCCTGGACACAGCCCTTCAACATCCTCTTGTGCATGACCAAGGAGGATCATCTTAGCAGATGACTCAATCCTTAGTGCTTGAGGACTGTAAAACTGTCAGCTCCTTCTGACTACAAAGTTCTCTAGTTGGCCTTACCAAACCAAGCCAGATCAGACCATCCTCGAGTTAGTGGGAGTAGCCCAAATGCTGATCCTTTGCCAAGTCCCTGTCTGTTTAATTCCCTCATCCATAGGAGAGATACTTTCTGGGGTCCAGGAAGCTCAGGGTATCTCCTGGGCTTTAGCTCCAGAGGGTCCCTGTGGGAAGTCTTGCAAAATAGGGGAGTGATACAGAACCTGGACGGTTTCCTGAAAATGACAGCACATTTAAAAAGAAAGTAGGTTCTGCTCGTTGGAGCTGGGGTGGTAAGTGTGAGTGTGGGAGTGGTGAGCACCTAGGTTTGGGCAGCAGCAGTGACTGCTGAGGGGAAGACCCTTGAGTCCTGGGAGCAGGGCCAAAGATAATCCTCCCCAGTCCCTGACAAATGGGTGAGAAGCACAGACCCTGCCAGAGAGGCCAGGCCACAGTGGCAAAAGCAGGCCAAGCATCTGGACCCAGGGAGCAGGGTCCCATGGCCAGGGTGCCCCACTCTCATACCTCCTAGACTCCCTGCAATCTACTCCACGGAGCCCACCCAACTCCTAACAGCCCCTCCTCGGGACTTCCATAGCACCAACTGCCTGCCCCTGGACTTCAGAGCACTCCAATGTTCAGGAGAGGCAGCCAGGGCTGCGTGCGGGGCAGAGCAGCCAGGCAGGGAGAGGAAGAAGTGGCGACTAGCCTCTGCGGAAGGCACAGGAAGAGGGCCTTCTGCCCTCATTTCCAGAGCAGGGGTCAACCTCATCACTGCGTGTCTCACCTTGGGTACATGGGGAAAGTGGCGGTTGCTCTGGGTGTAAGGGCAATCCAGAACAAGGAGTTTGGATTCCATGGACACCTTCCTTTGGGCACAGAACCTGATGGGCCCTGGGTGGTTCTCAGCACCACCACTTGGCAGTCAGCCTGACCCATGCCCCCCACACCCTGCCCATCCTGGCACCTGCTGGCACCTGCTGTGACTGCCCCAGTCAGTGGGTGGGTGAGCTCACCCTGCCTCCTGTGGAAGGCATGTGCGTGACTCAGGGCTGGATGCGGGGCTGGGGAGGCTTTCCTGAGGGCAAGGTGGAGCCAGCCTGTGATGGGTGATGGAGGGCATCCTGGACAGGACAGCACCAGGCACTGAGGGCCCGTCTACACCTTGCTCCTTCCCACTCCTAAGGACACTGGCGCTCACACTTGCGCGTGTCGGTGGGATGGGCACACTCTGTTACCCTTGCCCAGTACGCTGCCCCAAAGAAGGAACGCGTCAATGGTGGAACTGCAGGTGCAGGACAGTTTTCAGACCAGGGGAAGCTCCCCAGCACACTCCAATAAAGGTGATTCTGAAGACACCCGGAGTCAAGAAGGCAGCACTCTAGAAAGAGGGATGGAAACCCTCTTGCTCGGCAGCCTGGCTATCTTCCGGAGAACCGGCTATCTTCTGGAGAACAGCCTTGGGCTGAGTGTCCAGATGCTGTTTATGAAGACTGGAGTAAGAGGGGGATGCTTAGTAATATCAGGGAAAGCGACAGGATGCACAGTTTGGGCACAGTGTGATTGTAACCATGGAAAAACAAATCTATGCATGGGGACAAAAGACTGGAAGGAAATGTACCCCAAGTATGGGTGACTTTTCTTTCTTTTTTTCAACTTTTTGAATTTCCTTCAGTGCATTCCTGATGACAAACCTATTTTCTACCTGGAAAAAGAAAAAGTTTGGGGCTCTGAGCATAGAAGGATGTAAATACAACATCCCATGACTTCTCTAACCCAAACAGGCAACTCGAGGGTCACCCACAGGCCTTTCCCTAGATAAGCAGAGGGCCTCTAGGGCGGGTCACATAGTGGGGCTACCAGCTGTGTGGGAGCAGGATTTAGGGGGCTGTGTTGTTACGCACCTGCCCCAGTAACACCACACACACTCACCTCTTCACCTCTCTCTAAGCGCCAAAGGCACAGTTGAGATATTGGCTTGAGGAACTCCTCACACATCTCTGATGCCCCTGGATATGGGGAGTGGTTCCTTGTGGTTTCCCAAAGTCCCACTGAGCAGCTCTGGTTTCCAAATAAGACAGATCCTTCCCAGATTCTCTGATTCTGCCTCAGTTATGACACCTGGAATACTCTTACTGAGCTTTCAACACCCTGCTTAGCTGTTCCCAGGCCAAACCTACCTCGTCACCTGTCTGTACTTCCTTAGAACTTCTCTGTGTCAGTAGCAGTGACTCCCCCAGCACTGCCCCCCTCCCTTACTGGGGGAGCCAACAACAATAAATGAGTTGACTTATTGTTGGAACGTGTCTCCTCATCAGACGATAGGAACCGGGAGAACCAAACAGTGTTATTACTGGGCTTCGGTAACCTGGCAGGCATAGTCAGGTAGGTTCAGCCAGTTGGGTAGAGGAGAGGTGACCTAGCCTCAGGCTCTAGGTCTAGGTGCCTAGGTCAGACTTGAGAAACAGGTGAAAAATCAATGGCAGAGAGATTGTGGTCAAATCCCAAAAGGTTTGGGCAAGTGCTAACCGTTGGATGGTTGGGATCCTCTTTTCACTCAGTTTGGTGGCCACTTCTACAAAGGCTCAGCTCTTAGTTCTTCAGTGTGTGGACTGGACTCATCACTTTGAGGGCAAAGCTGGGGGAGGGAGACCAATTGTTGGGGTGGATGAGATTCAGCTTGAGTCAAGCAGGTTGAAGAAGGTGAAACTGCTGTGGATGGATGACTGAGTGGGTCATCAGTGATTCAGAGGATTGACAAGAGTGGTGTCCATGAGCCAAAGTGTGGTATGGGAAGGCACGAGCGATGGGCTGATGAGCTGACGGGCAGCTACAGCTCTAGTCAGTGGTTCAGAACAATCTGCTGTATGGAAATACCAGGGCTGGGTCCGTCCTTTTCCACCACTCCCCAACCCTAGCACAGCCCAAATGAGGTGTGGCTCCAGGTTCCTGCATGGTTTCAGGGGGATACCCGCCTCTCCTCAAGAAGTTCAAATATGTCTAGGAAGGGGTATTTGAGTCTTTTAATTCTGATAGAAGGAATCCCTCCTTATTTTCTACTATTATCTCTTCTGCTTTAATTTAAGCCTATGTCTAGAGAAAGCCTATGTCCTAGAGAAAGTCCTCAGAATAGAGAGGACAGAATAGAGACACCACTGCTCTCCTTCCTGGGGACCCATTCACCCCTGGGGATCCATTTACTTTATTTGATCGTGTGAGTTGCTTCCACTCTCAGGGTCAAGCCCAATGCCTTGTTGAGTGCAACCCTCATCCTACCTGTCCCCTCTAACTCCCTATCATCCATAGCTGTAATTTTCCAAGTCCTTCTGTCTCCTCTTCTCTCAGACCATCCTGGATATGGCCCTCACACTCAGGGAGACATCATACGAGTCTCTTGTCATCTCAGGACCAAGTTATCAAAGGACTGCTTGAGTCTTCTTTATCTCCCTTCCTCTGTCCTTCCTCCACTGGACTCCTGGACCTTCAGAGGCACATTAAGTTCTTGGAGAAGAACCAAGATGAATCTATCGCAGAACACACAATAAGCTATTAACAAAGGTCACTGAACCATTTCCTAGAAGTCAAATCACTTGGATACCTCTTCTCTCCATCCCCTAAAAAGCAGCAGATTTCAGAGAAGGAAGGAACCCCCCAAGAAGTCTTCCTACCTTAACCTGGGGGAGGAGAACAAGATGTAGCCAGACATGACAACTCCTGTTCCATTCAAACCTATCCACCTCACCTCTCCCTTCCCTCCCACCAACCCCATATTCTACACACCTCTAAGTGAAGAAGTCCTGAGACTCCTCAGAAGCCTCTTCCCTTAAAGGTCTCCTCTGATCCCTCTTAGCCCACAGTTGTGCACTCAAGGGCACTCCAGTTACTCATCCTGGGCATGTCCCATGAGTGTGCATACTCTGTACTTAAGCCCCACCTAAAAGAGTCTCCAAGGCTAAGGGCCACACTTTTATACTCACAGTTCAGCTTAATCCACTACAGGGAAAATCAAGAAACACCTGCTAAGTTGTCCATAGCAGAAAGGGCAGCTGTCAACATCGACTAGCCTAGAACATCCAATTGCTTTTTCTTACTCCCCTAAAACTAATGTGCCCTCCTCAACACGCATGCCCAAGCTGCACTCCATGCCATGTGACCGACTATGGGCATCTGATACGTACTTATGATATCCTCTGTGCTTTAGGCACCAATCACACTCAGTCCACAGGTGCCCCACACTGAGGGCACAACTGTTTCACACACCCACTACAATACACTCACGACTTGCACCCACAGCTCTGATGTCACCAGGCCCAGGTCTGCCCCACCAGCCGCCAGCCCTGAAGATTAGGTGGGAATCTTCCAGGTCAGACCACAGAGCCAGATGGGAGCTAGCGCCCTTGTGCAGAGCCTGCCCTGCCACACGGCCCCACCCATGGACAGCCCGGAACAAAACTCCATTCCCAGCCACTGGTACAGCCCTGCCCCAAACAAAGCAGCACAGGTTGTCCACTTCCCAACACTTTATGTTAAAGCCTTGGGGGTGCAGAGACCCCCAAGACCTTGATGAAGACCCAAACGCTAATCTGTTTAACCCTCTTGTAGATTTCATCCATGAGCTGGTGGATACAATTAGATCATCTGGATTAACAATCAGCTGTGAAAGTACAAAGGAAAGCAAGAAGGAGGGGCAGCAGTGACAGCAGAGAGTAAGAGGAATGAGTGGTAAAGCTAACCTGTGGGGAAGTGTAAAATCAAGAGGCACGTGCCCTTCGTTCAGTCCTTATCCATGGAGCATCTGCTCTTTGCCAGTGAGAAATACAAAGGCTTGGCCACTGCCTTTCAGAGCTGAGATGCTCAGGCATCTGGTTATCAGAATCACCCAGAGAACCATTTAAAAAGCTTTTCCTGGGTCCCCTGCTAGAATTCCTAAGAGAATCTGAGTGGGACCCATGAATCTGTATTTTGAGATTTCTTTGATTCAGGCAGTCTACAGACTGACATTTGGACATGGCAAATAAGCCAATGACAGCAAAGTCCACTCATGTTATATATGCGGGAGCTATGCTGGGAGCTCTGAAGACTTGGAGGAGGGTTATGCCGAAACACGAAGGAGTCGAGAATAGATGAGCCAGAAACTAAGGACTGGAAAGAACCTTTGAGTCCATTTTCTTTAATCTTACTAATACAGAAACTAAGACCCAGAAAGAAGACAGAGCCAGAGCTGATGAGATGATAGAGAACCATCAGCAGGCATGAATTTATTGCCAGTTGCTAAATCTATAGAGATGGAAGTTTGAGATGGATGGCGGATATATAGAAAATAAAACAGATGATAAAATTATAGAGAGTTGGGTAAATAAGAGTTATTGTTAGGAAAGAGAAATAATTAATAAAAAACAGGAAATAAGCAGCTTAGAGGAGACAGTTTAATGAGGACAGAATTCCATGGCTTGGTTTAAAACAGCTATCTGTGAGAGACAGCTTAGAGTCTCTGAGAGACAAATATAGACATTGACTATAGAAATAGATGTCAGGGGGCTGGATGCACGGGAGTCAGTGATGCTTGACAAATAGCTGATAGCTGGAAATGACAGGTATGCTTGCCTGGTAAATACGGGGAGGTAGATACATAATTTGTTAATTATAGGGTCTAGATCCAAACGATAAGTTATGAGGGGGACAGAAGGACAATTCTACTGATAAAGGAGACTGCAAAGTTAGAAAGAACACTTGGACAAAGAGTCAGGAAGTCCAGGCTTGAATTGTCTCACAATACCAACTTGACATGTTACTTTAAACAAAGGGAAAGAAAGGACTGAGGATGAGAGTTAATAATGAGTCCAGATTATCCTTGAACAACCTATTTTCTAATTGAGGAAACCAGAGCTCAGAGAAGTTGAGTACATCAAGGAAGGTCACAGTTCGCAGGGAGGCAGATATTAAAATCACATCTGCCTGCATGGGAAACTCTGCCCAGTCCTCTCTCCATCTCAAAGTCCTCACCTACACAAACAGGCTTCTTTAAGGAGGATTTTCAGGCGCAAAAGTCCCACAGTTCTATTACTTTTTTGTTCCATTTGCTAAAATCAGCTAATTAATAGATGGAGCAAGACTAGCCATGAGTTTTTAATAGTTACTGCAGCCAGATACATTATTCTATCTAATTTTCTTTTAAAAACACTTTTGGAACACCATAAAAATGAAAGTGACAACCATAGCTTGCATTTTTAAGAGCAAATATTGACAGGTGGGTAGCTTCAGTTTGAAAGAAAGTTAATTTTAAAAACTCACACTGTGCTAAAATTTAGTAACCATTACTTTTTAGATGAAGTTAATCATAAACACCACCCTTAAATTGACACCTTGTTTTAGACCATTTTAAAACACTGACAGGAGTGAAAAAGGAGTTCTTAATTTATTGTTTTCTAACATATCTTTCTTAAAAACATTTTAATAATTAAATTCGTTGTTTTCTAAATTTTACCTCTGCAGTTAGAACAGCTCAGCTAGCAAATCTGAAAAAGCTGGGTCATGCAACGGACACAGAAACATTGTCTTAACTAAATGGGGCATCAGACAGCTTCAACGACAGTATATACCTAAATGCAACACAAGGACAGGACGGTGAGGTCCCTTGCAGGGAGCTGGGGACAGTTAGGGTTGGGCTCTCCACTGAGTCCCCTTCCTACCCTCCTTGCTACTCGGGAACCCAGCCTGCTACCACAGCCGGTGCTTTCCCCTAGACCCTGACTAGGGGCGGGGTGAGGCAGCAGGAAACAGGGGAGATGAAAATGCTGGCTGGGTGAGAGCTGTGGGGCTGAGCAGGACGACCTCTCTCATTTGCAAATCTGGGAGCTGGAAGGAAGGAATGGAATAAGATCTCTTGTGGCCCCACCAGACCGGGAAATCCGCCTCCCGGCAGCCACCAGCCCCTTCAGCACGTGGGATTCCCGCTGCCCTATTGCTTAGGCTGAGCTTCCAGGCAGCATTTATTTATGGCAAAGTCTTACTTAAAATAAATCCAAATCTGCCTTCCTGTAACTCTCATCGAGTTCTTTTTAAATGCTTTTAAAATGATCAATTATGAAAATACTGCGTGGTAATTATGATTTCATCCCTCCAACACCACTAGAGTTTACTCGGTCCCTAACTCAACAGTCCTTCAAGTAATTGAAAACAATCACTCAATACCCAGCCTCGCGTTTCCCAACATTCCGAGGTCCGCGTGCACACACACGATTTCCAGAGTCCTGCCAGCCGGCCTGCCACAGATCAGTGCCACCCTCAGAATCCAAGCAGGGCTGCTCCTCCCTGGCTAATTCCCTCCGCTTCTGATATTTAAGGTTAAGGACACGTAGGCTTTCTCACCACACTCATTAGCCGGGTGGGCAGCAAAGGCCTCCACCAGCTTTGCCCATGACAGCAGCAAAGTCAGTGGGGGAGAGGGGGAGGCCTGGTCATCCCAAGAACCCGCGATTGCCCCAGACCGATGCCGAGAGAAGGGCCGAGACTGGCCCCAGAGCACACAGGTGCTGCATGGACTGACCTCGGAGTGGGGACTGCCCGCCTTGCCGACTCCCGAGGCCACCCGCTGCCTCCTGATAACCTGGCGCCAAGTATAGCTTGGGATGCGGACTCGGGCTAAGATTTGATCCCTACCCCCTAGTGAGTCTTTGGTGCTTAATAAAAGTCCGGTGGCCTCTGCGAGACAAAACAGTGGGAGGAAAGGGGCTCTAAAGTCAAGCTCTCCTGGTGCGCGCGGCACGGTGGCTTTGGAACTGGACCGGGGCGAGCTCCCTGGAGGTCAGGTCGCCCGTGCACCGCCCGCCCCCACCTCCTCCAGGACGCCGGGGCGCCGCGCTGGCCGCCGGCAGGCGAGCAGGCCAGGGGGATTATTACCTGCGTCTCGGAGAGACTAAGGCTGCCGGCCAGCTGTTTCCGCTCAGCGCCCACCACGTAGTGGTTCTTCTCGAAAGCGCGCTCCAGTCGCAGCAGCTGCGAGGGCGAGAAGGCCGTGCGGATCCGCTTGGGCTTGCGCGCGAAGGGGCCGTGCAGAAGCAGCCCGTCCTGGGGCACATCGCTCGCTGCGGCCGCGCGGAGGGCAACACACGCAGGTACAGACAGATAGAAGGGGCGCCGTGAGCCGCGGCCCGCCGGCCCGGTCCCCCCCTTCTCCCCCCGCCGGAGCCCGCCGAGTTCAGCTCTTCCGCCCACTTCGCTGGGCATGGGAGCGCTCCCGCTACCTTCTCCAATCCTTTACGTTACCCCCACGCTACTTCTGTGATCTCTTTTGCCTCCCCTTCCCTAAGTCCATACTGTCTTCCCCAGCGTCTCCCCACACCCCTACTGCTATCGGGTCGCAGAGACTTGAGGAATCGTTAGCTCTGCGCATCCCTCTGTCGGGCCAGGTGGTAAGCTCCCGCCTGGCAAGGTGCTGCCCACCGACCCAAATCTACAGTGTCTGGGTCAACCAAAGAGGCCAAGGTGTGGCAAAAGTTCTTTAGCTCTGTCTGTCCACCTTTACCAATCAGTACTGCCACCCCATCTTCCCACAGGGATTTGCTGTTAATTAACTGACAGGGTCGTATCTCCTTCAAAGCTGACCAAGAGTAGAGCCAGGGTTGGGTGTCAGGAAAGAGGGACAGCTAGGCCCTTTGGCCCTTGCCAAACAGATTCAGAAACTAGAAGGAACTCACATTACCTGCTTAAACCAGCCTTGCTGCTAAATGCGCAGGGCACTACACCCGTGAACATTCCTGCCAACAGGCTGAGGCTTTTCCTTGCCAGTGGTAATAATAGGCCAGCAGCTAGGTCAAGGTCCAGGTAGCACCTGGAGGTCGAAGGTCAGGATCTTCCCCCTTCCCACTTCTCTCCCCCCAAGGCTCAGGTAAAACCTTCTATTCACAGAAGATTCTTACTACTTTCTGGTGGGAAAGGGGCTTGCTTCTTTCCTGAATAGCCCTGTGCTAAAGAAACACATGTATAAATATCATTTTTCTAGATGTCATTTTTCCCTCTAATATATATAGATATAGATATATTGGTTTCTGCATGGGCGTGTGTAAATATATGCTCCAGCCTCCCTACTGTCTTTTTCTCCGTCTCTCAAACAGGATTTTCAAATAGATGACTACCCTCTGGCAAATGCTGGCCATGAGGAAGACTGAGCTCGACATGCAGGAGGAAAGATTGACAATAGGCTGGTTGAGGCTAGGGCAGGGAGTCGGTGTCTACAAAAAACAAGGCAAGCTTTCCACCCATGACCCCAGTCTTAATGAACTCCCACTGGATCATCACAAATCTCTGGTTTGGTTGTGCATGCTAACACAATGAAAACAAACCCTGACATCACCCATGGATTCACATGCAGCGGCTAAAAGTCCCCCTGACAGACCCCAACAACACAGGGTCCTAGATGGAATGTTTTGACAGTTAGCGCTTGAAATGGACTGATCCAATTAATTTCTTCAGTAATGGCCACTGGTTTGACTCAATATAACCTATTGTTTTGCTCTTAGGACAATTGTTTAGATAATTCAGTTGAGCTCTCCCATCTCTGAAAATATTTTTGCAAGTGAAGGCAGGGAACATAATTGAGATGCTATTGCTAACACTCTCCAGGTAACTGTTCGTGTCCCTCTGCTGGTAAAAAGTGCCCGACTTTATTTTCTCCAAGTCCCTGGGCTTTAGACACTACAAGAGGAACTTTATTGCTGGGGGTTCCATGGAACAGAGTTGCTGTGGAATGAGGGACTAATGCCTGGGCAGGGGGGGGGGTGAGGGGGGAGTGGGCGAATTCCTTATTCCTACCTGGATTGGGCTCCTCCTGTCCCTTTTACCCTTTTATGCCAGACCACCTCCCCCCTGACAGGGAGAAGTCACTAACATCCAATCACCTTATCCATTTCAAGTGGCTGGATCTGTGCTGCTGTAGAAGGGGAAGGGTGGCACCACAGAGAGTTAGTGGAGGGACCCCTGCCCATGCACTTGCCAGGTGAGGGCAAGCCCTGGTTTCTCAATCTGACTGAAGGAGAAGTTTAACTATGGCCGTAGGGGCCAGATGAAGCAGGGAGGTGGTCTGGCATAAAAGGTAAAAGGGACAGGAGGAGCTCAATCCACGTAGGAATAAGGAAGATTAAAACCTCCAGTGTGATAGACCAGAGAAAGGTGAAAGAGGTGGGTGGAAAGTAAATGCACCTTGTTAACGTTACATTGCTTCAGAAAACACCATTCTGGGCCAACTGTGGTCCCAACAGTGTTTTCCTCAGGCAAATGAGCCTGAGAAAGAGACAGCCTCACTCATCCCAGTGTTCCGTGTTTGCAAGGCTTGACCTGGGCATCTCTGACTGGCCAAGACTGGTCAGACGAGAGACAGTGGCAGGTAGAGGTCTGGTAGGGGTGAGTGAATGGGATGCAGAGATGGGAAGGGCAGTGTGGAGTTGAGAAAGCGGAATACAGTTTGCCTTAGGGTGTATGTGTGTTGGTTGTTGTGATTCTGTGGTGTGGTGACTTCTGTGGTGGAGTTCTCTGTGTTTGTCCTCATAAACCCAAAATGGAGGATGCAAGCAATAAGATTCTCTGTCCTTTTGACAGACACATGTCCCTTGCCTCAAGTTAGGCTATTTTAGAGGAAAGTTAGGTTGCATAGTTCTGCCTTGCTGAGCGAATAGCCCCAGTTTGTTGTGGCCTATGGATAGCTCATATCCTCCAGTCTGTGGCTACACGCATGTGCACAAATGCAAAAGTCCCTAACCCAAGCATGAAGCAGCAGGGGACAGGAAAATTAATTATTCAAGATGCTGATAAGTGATGGAAGGTTAGGGCTTTTCCCTGTAAGAAAGAGGATGTTTAACACAAAACTAATCATCTGGAAAAAATGGTCAACTTGTACACATTACTTTCTGTAAGGATAAGGGTGTCCATGTGTCTGGGGTTCTCTGACTACCACCTACAGGGAAGGTGGCCTGAACCACAGTTTGAGTAACCCTTGACTGGACCACGAGGGCAGAACAAGTTTGGGGCCGGTTGCGCCTTGGCCTGTCTGGAAGCAGTAATACCCAGTCGTGAGAGTGGGCTGTCAGTTTCAGACAAGGACAGGTGGAAAAGTGGAATCGGGCTGGCATAGCCTTTCCAGGAGCTTGGAACTGAACCCATCCCCACCCTGTTCTCCGACAGCTCTCTCTTCCGGCCCCTTCAAGGCAGGCTGGGAACTAGCCTCGCAGACACCCAGGAATGAGGAGGGAGGAGGTGGGACCCAGGGCTCCGAAGCGCCAGGGGCTGGAGCGGCAGTCTCCTCTGGTGAGGCCGCCGAGGGGCGGAGGGGCCTGGGGCTACAGAGAGGGGCCGGCCAGGCAGCGGAGATAACCTCATTCCTCCTCCTCCTTCCGGAACAAAGGCGCCCTTTGAAGCACCGGCCCATTACCGTCGCCTGTCCCAGAGGACTGTGTCTCCCACGGCCCCCTCCCTAGGCTGCTCCGGGCCCGGGAAAGTTCCTGATGTCCGGGAAATAGCACCAAAGTGAGGCCAACTCCGCGTCGGGGCCGGCTCCTCCCCTTCAGGCCTCGAAAGCCGCCCCCGACTTCGGCGTGCAGCCTTCTCTTCTCCGACTGTCCCCCAGTAGCCTTCCCTCTTCCACGGTCTGGCTCAGCTGATAAGCCGCTCCCCTGCGCTCAGGGACCGCGCCGCCTAAGAGCGAGGCGCAGCGCTCAGACTAGTTCCCTTTCGTTCGTGTAGGGTTTCGTTTCTTGCTTTAAAAACCGGGCTGAAGTGAGCATCGCAGAGACCCGGTTCTCTAGAAAACGCGGCGCGGGAGGGTCCGGGACGGCTCAGCTCGCAGCCCCGAGGCCCGGCTGCGGGCCCGGCTGCGGGTGCAAGCGCGAATCTGCTGCCACAGGGCTGGCTCCAAAGTCAAAACGTGTCAGGGGTCGAACAGTCCTTCAGTGTCCAATGGGTTTCTGAGTTTGAAAACGCGTCCACACTTGGCTCCATTTCTGCGTCCACACCCGGTTCTTGAAAGAAAAATCCGACCGTTTCTGCAACTCGACAACGTGTATGCCGGGACTCTAGCTTGGAGAGCCGCAGCACTTTCTGAGAGGATTTTGCGGAAATTTTATCCGGTCTCGCCTGGCTGGAGAATGCTCAAAACCAGAGCGGCATCCCAGGTCTTCAGCGCCCTGATTCCATGCGGGCAAGGCCGGAGGCGCGAAGGGAGGCGTGAGGCGCGGGATCCGAAGCCCGAAGCCCGAAGCACTGCGAGGGAGGCAGTCTTGGGATAAGCAGACACCTTCGGGCTAAGGCCTGGCTCTGCCCTTTCCAGCGAACCCCTGTCCCTCCACCTCTCCTAACTGCCGGCCTGTCACGGTCCTTGCCCAAAGATTCACAAACTGGCTCCCAAGCGGACCGTGGGCACCAGGTTTCCAGACCCAGGCCCAGAAGAGAGCCCAGGGAGGACCGATGCGGTTTGCTCGATTTTGAATAAAACTGCATTCTGTCAGTAAAAACGATGTTAACTGACAGTTTCTTTCCCAAAGCTACTGACATCATAAACATTTAATCCCCGATAATTTGGACAAGTCTTTGAAATGGGGGAGGGAGTAAATACAAGTCTATCTACAGAAAATCTTATTTAAGTAATTACAGTTTCTGATTTTATGGGATCTGTTTGTTGGGTCGGTTTCCACTCAGAAGGGACTGAGAAAATTGTCTGGTATATCGGGACCGAGAAGGTGGCTTTCGGTAAGCAGCGTCAAGAGATCACTTCTCTTGTGTTAACTAGATAATTGACCAACACCCAGTTTACTTTGACTGCGTAGTCTTGGCCGACCATCACATTAGATCCAGGAGCCTAAGCCCTAGCCCTGTCCTAGCCATATTTATTTGTTTCACTAGAAGCTGGATCACCTGCCTCTGAGTTACAGAACCTCACAAGGCTGAGGTCCCGTTTACACTAACAAAATAAAACCGGAAACTATAGAACAATTAGGGCACAATGTAAGACCACTCTTTAAAGGAGGGAAGTAGGTGGAAGAAAGCAAGCAAGCACCGCGAGGAAGGAAGCACTAACAAATTCAAGGAAGAAAACGAACTCCATCAAATGCAACTCTCCTTCGGGAAAGTCAGAAAACTGAAACGTGTGTGTGTGTGTGTGTGTGTGTGTGTGTGTGTGTTTAAGGCCAGTGGGGGATCATTATTAGCAAACTCACTGCCGGGTGCTGAAGAGGGGGGCTCGGACAACTTACGACCTTAAAAGCCCTCTGCCCCCGCCCCCTGCTTGGGAGGACTGTGGTCGGTCAGCCAGCACCCAGAGGGCTCCCGGAACGGCGGCGGTCGGCAGTGGAAGCTGCTTTGCTATTGCAGACCTTTCCCGCCCAGGGTGTGAAAGGCACGTGTGACCGGAGAAGTCGGGCCAAGGTTGCTGAGAAACATCCCAAGACAGAAGGGCACTCCACACTGAACATAAACTCTGTTTGCCCTCGCCCTCCTCCTCGCCCCTTCTTCCCACAGACGCGGGACGCGCGGTTGGACTTTCCCCTGCCCGAACGCACCGGCGAGGGCAGATCCTTAGGAGTTGGCGGTGGACGTGCTAGCTAAGTACTGTCCCGGGTCCAGCCAGAACTGGGGTGGGGGTGGGGGAGTGGTGGGGGAGGGCGGTGGGTGCAGTACTCTCCGTTCTGGGACTGGTTGAGCCGGGAAAGATAATCAGACAGGCCGCCGGGAGAACCTGAGGAGGCTCAAAAGATGCGCCGGGATTTGGCGCCCCGACCCACAGCATTCCTAGGAAACCCTTAGCGTCCCAACTTGGCTCTCTGCGAGGGACCCCAAAGCTGCAGTGGCGCGGATGGATCCGACGCGGCTCACCGGAATTCCGGATCGGGCTCTGCGGACCCGCAGCCGCGTAGGCACAACTTCTGAACATCCCTGCGCGCCCCAGAGCTTCCCCTGTGCCACTGGAGCGCGGGCACCAGACACCGCCTAAGCGGGTACAGAGTGGGCACTCACCCTGGAAGCGGTGGCCGAAGAAGCGGTTCCGCAGGACCCAGGGATAGAAGTGGAGAGGGTCTCGGTGCTGGGCGCCGAAGAAGGAGTGCGGGGGCTGCAGCGGGGAGGCGCCCAGCTGGTGCGCCGGGTGCACGGTCAGCGCAGGGTGGTTCATGGCCTCAGGGAACACAAGCTCGGGCCCTCCGTAGAGCGAGCGGCCGGCGCCCGCGGCGGCGGCTGGGAAACCGCTCACGAAGGCCGCCTCGGCCGCGCCAGGGTGAGGGTAATTGAGCGCCGTGGGCCGGAGCGGTTCCTCCGAGGCGGCCGCCGCTAGAGAATGGGAGCCCGAGCCCCCGCCGCCAGAGCCCCCGCCGGTGCCGCCGTCCTTGGCCACCAAGGACTCGATGGTAAAGCCGCGTTTGGCTGTGGGCTGGAACATGGTCGCGGCCGCCAGAGCCGAGCGAGGCAGCCGGGCTCTGGGGAGCGCTCCGCGTCCTGGCGCCGCCGCCGTGCGGGGTGTGCACCCAGCCAGGCACATGCACACACACCAGCACCCCTCACCTCCCCCGCCCGCCCGCCCGCGCTCAGCCCTAGCGGGCGAGCCTGGCGCGGAGCTGTGAGCGGCGCGCGAGCGAGAGAGCACGGAGTAGGGCCACCGCGCGCGGCTAGGCGCTCTGGCCTCTGCTCCCGAGCGGGCAGCCCCCCGGGCGGGCACTGGCGCGGGCTCGGTGCGATTTTGCTAGCTGCTTCTCCGGCCTGGGAGCTGAGCCCGGCCCCCTCCCTCCGGAGCCCAGCCAGGACCGACCCCCGCCCCCGGTCCTCCCAGCGCTGCCCAGCCGGCCTCGGCCGCTGCGGTGCGAGGCGCAAGTTAGCGGGCACCTGCCCCGCGCTCCCCCATTGGTCGCTGCTCACCTGCCCCAAGGTGGGGGGCGGGGCTGGGCGGGGCGAGGGACGGCGGGTGGGGACGGAGCCAGCAGTCGGAGGCAAAAAGCGGACTGGAGCCTTTTGCTGGGCGATTTAGGTGTCCCCCTCGCCACTAGCTTCTTTTCACGTCTCCACCCTTAAGCTGAGTCAGGCTGCCGCCGAAACCGTCTCAACCAATTTGGGAACCGAAGAAGGAGTCTGAGGGACTTGGAGCTTGGGGAGGAAATCCAGCCCAACCTTTGGTGTGTAACTCAGTAGAACCCTCTCCAATTCGTCCTGGGATGTCGTTTCAGTTCTCAGACAACTTGGATCTAAGTAGAGGGCAGGTGTTTCAGGTCGACAGAGGTGTTTCTGCACAGAGAAACAGCTTCCTGCTCCCTTGACCTCCGGACCCTCTGGCTCACCCACCAGGCGTTTACTGAGCCACGGTATGAAGCCGCGGCCTTGTTTGAGAGGCTTCGGGTTTTCTGGGTGTTGCAGGGAGATGACTCTGGAAGGGGGATGCTCGATTCTTTTCATAAGGGTCCTGGACGGGGGACAGCTCGAGATAAGCTGCCAGGGCTGTCACCCCATAGTCGTCAAGCCAAGGTCCTCAGAGCTCGGAAGCAGCTTGTTGGCACCGCTGGGGCTACCGTTGCAAGTTCAGATCTGGATGGCAGGCCTCTGTGCAGGGCGACTCTATGGTCACCGGGCTCAGGTGCAGACAGACGGGGCCAGGCCGAGGCCTCTGGAACACAGCTTTAAATTGTTGCTGGCTGGGCAGTTCGACCCTGTCCCCAAGATAACATCCTAGGAATACAGCCCTCCTGCCCTCTCCCGATCCCTACCTTCCACCCTTGAACGAGGAGCTGCGGACCAGACTGCTGTGGCCAGTTTCTATTTCGTACACTAATCTCTGGGGGTGAGAAGGCGGTTGGCAAAGAGAAACAATACTTTGCAAACTTTTCAATCGGGCCTTACAGGCCTCAGAAAACCCTGCACCCAGGCCTCAGAGGGCGCTGGGTAGTGGTGAGGACGCTGAGACCCTGACCTGCAAGGACCGGACCGCAGAACGTTCAGCTTTCTCTCTGCTGCTAGGGTCTGTCAGCCGGGTTTAGCCTCCCGGATGCGCAAATCCCGACTGGGCCTCTCGGTGTCCGGAGGCCAGGGGGTCCGAGTGCCTTGTGACTCTGTAGGGACTCCAGGCCGGGTCTTGGGAGTGGCCCGTTTAAGCTCCAGGAGCCCTGGTTTGGGGAGAGCGCTCTTGGGCGCCCCGGTAGCCACAAAGCGGGTTAAAGTCTATTTTCCACTCGACTGCTCCGAAAAGCCCCAGCGCGCCAATGCCGTTCCGGCCCCCCTTAGGCGAAGAGGGGAGGGGAGGGAATGGCGAGAAGGGGGGAGGTGAGTCGACCGCACCCTGCAGCACTTGGAGTCCAGGGAAGCCTTGAGCCAAACACGGGGGAGGCACCCCAGAAAAGCCTGTGGAGGAATCGTGATGAAATCCCGGGCGAGCACTAGTCTCTCGCTGGCCTTTCCCAATCCCCCGGCCGACTGAATGGTCTCACCCTCTCTCGGGCTTCTCTAAGGCTTTCCGTGGTCTTCGCCGACTCTCTTGCCTCCCTGTTAGCCCACTGGCCTCCTTTCCCACTTTTGCTTCATCAGTCTGGAAAAGGTAGAAGTTCCGACCGAGGGTACAGAATGGGCCAAGGCACAGAACGAGATTTGCATTCTGGTGGGTAAGAGACAACTGGAGGTTTCCTTGGAGCAAAGTGTCCACGGGGAGGCGGGTTCAGCAGGTTAAGCATTGCCAGGGCCCATACTCTGCAGCGACAGGAGTCCTTGGGACTGGAACACAAGGCAGGAACCAGCACAAAGGCCCCAGGACTTTGTGCTTCTACTTTACAGGTGAACCCCACCTGTAAAGTCCTAAGCCTAAACACCGTGACCAGACACTGGCTTAGAAGGCTAAACCGGGCAGGTAGAGGAGCTGGGAATCTGCCAGGATGGTCCAACACTTGGGTCTTCACTGGTTCTAGCATGGTTCTAGATCAACAGATCTTCACAATAACAACATCTTCCCTTGTGGTATTTTGTAATAATCTGACACCTGCCTGTTTGTGATTATAGCCCCTTTGCTAGATGAAAAAAGACTGCACAGGGTCAGTGAAAGTCTAAACACTGGGTTGAACTGGGATAACCCAGTGGTCCTGGTTCGGTTCAGGTTCCACCCTACTCCACCCACCCCAGAAGCTGCACCCAACTTTCACGGGTTAGTGAATCTGGGTTGTGCTGGATAGTGGCAGTTCTATCTTTACACTCCCTTCTCCCAGCTTCCTTCTCACTTGCTTTCACTTCCTGTAATTCCCTAATTTCCTTTCCTCCATCTTCAGATTATTTATCTGAAAATTTTCATTTCCCCTGTTGTAGTCAAGAGAAGATTTTTCACCCTCAGGGTGTTTCGAAGCTTGCACTGTAATCTGGGTTCAGCATCAACACCGCCCATATCTTTCTGTGCTATCTCCTCAGTCTCTGTCAAGCTTGCCTACCTCTTACAACCTTGACCATCTCCAGCCATCTCTCTCAGCCCCCCCCAATGATCCAGTAAAGAAATGCCTCCTGTCATCCTCAACTGCCCTTAATCAAAGGCTGCTGCCCCTTCCCCATCTCTGCTCCCCACCCCTTCCTCTCTGCCTTCCTGTGCGCCTTTTCAAGGAGTAAACCTAATAAAGGGAAGCTAGTCACACTTTCCTCAGGCTAGAGTGCCCTGTTATCCATAGATCTTCAGGATGCTTGCCTCCCTACACCCCCCTCCCAGCACCCCAGCACCCTGCTCCCTCCTCAGCGTTCCCATTTTCCATAAGCCAATACCTCACTCTGCAGGGGAGCCTGGTGCCCACTTGAGGGTATGGTCTGGATCACCCATCCTAGTTCTGGCACCACTTCAACGGTCTCCCTCTTCCTTCCCTTCCTCCCACATTTCCTTCCGCCCTTCTTCCCTCCCCTTACTCCTCCCTCCATCTTTGGAATAACTTAGGCTCAAGTTTTACTTACTAATAGTAAGAACAGAGGCCAGTAACTTTGCCTCAATTTGCACATCTGTGATCTGGCAGGCAGTATATGGAACCTCTCTGTGGGTTAAATAGATATGAATACGGTGCCTGGGAGTAATGTACACGGTGAACAGCGTGGCCCAGCACTGGCCC